TTGAACAAGTTTACACTCCCACCAACAATGCAGTAGGGTTCCCTTCTGTCCACATCCCCTCCAGCATCTGTTGTTATTAGAGTTCTTGATTTTTGCCATTCTAACTGGGGTGAGGTGGTATCTCAATGTTGTTTTGATAATCATCATTTTCAATTTCATTCTTTCCCAATTATTTTTCATTTTTCCTAAGAAAAATAATTATGCATCTGTTGGATTGCTTTTGTCTTCCAAATCTAACATATTATCTATAATTTGTCTTCCTAATTTGGTATTTTATTTTGTATAATCTTTTTTTTTTTTTTTTGGTCAGAGTGTTTGAACTCAGGCCCTGGGTGAGCACTGTCCCTGAGCTTTTGCACTCAAAGCTAGTGCTCTACCATTTTTTATTTTTATTTTTGTCAGTTGTAGGGCTTGAACTTTGCCGACAGCTCTTCAGCTCAAGGCTAGTGCTCTACCACTTGAGCCACAGCGCCACTTCTGGCCTTTTCTATTTATGTGGTGCTGAGCCTTATGCATGCCAGGTAAGCACTCTACCACTGAGCCACCTTCCCAGCCCTGCTCTACCATTTTGAGCCACAACTTTCCTTCCCCAGCTGGCTTCCAAATGCGATCCTCAGATCTTAGCCTCCTGAGTAGCTAGGATTACAGGCATGAGTCACTGGCTTCTCTCTGTCTCTCTCTCTCTTTCTTTGAGGGGGAATTATGGGGTTTGAAGTCAGGGTCTCTACTTGCTAGGCAGGTGCTCTACTACCTGAACAATGCAGGCCTCTTTTGCTTTAGTTATTCTTTTTAAATAAGGTCTTTTGTTTTAGCTATAGAATTATAGGTGTGCGCCATCATGCTCAGATTATTTGTTGGAGTGGAATCTTACTTTTTTCCATAGGCTGGTCTTAAACTCTTCCCTATTTCTATCAGTTGAGTAGCTGTGATTACAGATATGGGCCACTATGCCTGATCAATGTGAAATTTTCTTTATGTCTATGATTTTAGTCATAGTTGTAACTTGTAATTTTTTCTCTTCCACCTCTAGTGTGAGTTATGCTAATTTCCTTTTCAATAGATTCTATTCTTTAATCAGTTCCTTTAGGAATTATTTTTCACTTTGTTTTTCTTTTTGCATAGCGGAGGACCAAACTCAGGGCCTTGTACTTGCCAGGTAAGTGCTCTTTCGCTGAGCTAAATCCCCAACCCTCTTTAGTTTATTTATTTATTTATTTATTTATTTTGGGTCTGGTCGAGGGGCCTGAACTCTGGCCCTGAGCGCTGTCCCTCAGCTCTTCAGCTCAAGGCTAGCACTCTACCACTTGAGCTGTTGGGAGCCAAAAGTTAAGTCTCTCAAACGCGATAGGCTTAACTATCTCACTGGAACAACCTGAGGCTGAGTTTACAGAATCCCACCCTGCAGCTACTGAAGATCACCTTTTCACCACGCCCTAAGTCCAAGCATATAAATATCCTTGTGTGAAAAATAAAAATTGGCAGCTTGATCAGAATCCTTGTCTTGCTGTCCTTCGTGTCTCTTGTCCCTTCATTCCTTCTCGCTTAGGTTCACTGCCCTCGTTGAAGTCCTGCCGGTCGGGACATTGAGCCACAGCGCCACTTCGGGCTTTTTTCTTTTTGCTTATGTGGTGCTGAGGAATTGAACCCAGGGCCTCGAGCATGCAAGGCAAGTGCTCTACCACTGAGCCACATTCCCAGCCCCTCTTTAGTTTATTTTTATAGAGATCATCTTATCTCTATCCTTGAAAATGTTATGTAGAACCACCTGTCTCAATCATTCTTTTCCTTTCATCTATTCTGTAAGTATTTATTGAGCACCTGCTTTGGGCTAGATACCTAGGATACACTGGGGGAACCAAATAGTTAAAAGACTGAAGTTGTTATTTTATGGCACTGGGGCTTGAACTTAGGGCCTGATGTTTACTATCCAGGAACTCTACTGATGAGCCAGGCCTTAAGCTTTCTTTTGCACTGGTTATTGTTTAGATACTGTCTTGCTTCTTACCTGGGTGTACCTAGACTATAATCTGCCTATGTTTCACTTCTTTTGTAGCTGGGATGACAGACATGCACCAGCTTCTTCCAGTGAGACGAAGTCTCACAGACTTTCTGCCTAGGCTTGCCTTGAACCACAATTTTCCTGATTTCAGCCTTTTAAGTAGCAAGCATTACAGGTGTGAGATACTTGCATCTGGCAAGATTGTGCAGTATTTGTCTATCAGAGGGTATTGAACAATGAACAACATAAATTATTAGTAAGTTACACAGTATGTTAGAATGATGATGTGTAGTTCAAGGTGTGGGAAGGTTGTGACTTCTAAATAAAAAGTGGATTTAAGTCTCACTGGAAAAGTGACTTCTGAGCAAATCTATAAAGAAGGTGAGGTGGTGAGCATAAAACCTGGCATATTCAAGGAACAATTTAAGGATGGATAAAGCAGAAGGAGTAGGAAATAAGACCAGAGAGTTAATGGCACTCACTGGCTATTGTCATGAATTTGGATTTTGTTTTCATGGAGAAGAGGGGAGTGGGCATGGTAGAATTTTAAACAGAATCTGTTTCTCTGCTTTGTTGAGAACTCACCTGTAGATGGGAATGCGAAGCAACTAGATGGGTCTTCCAGGTCTCCTGCATGTAATGTGACTGGATCTCTAGAAGCATAAGAGCAATGCAGTGCTGTTGCACAAACACAGCACTGAAGTCTGGACAGAAGCAAACTACACAGACAAACTACACAGACAAAATATGATGCCTATAGTATCAGCTCAGTGAAGATGACAATTAGTTATGATGGCTATCATAGCTTGGAAATCTTAAAATACCTTTGAAGGAGACTCAGTTGCATTATATTTTTGGATAAAATGTAATAATAAGCTAGGTGCTAGTGGCTCATACCTGTAAACCTAGCTACTTAGAAGGCTGAGATCTGAGGATCACGATTTGAAGCCAGCTGAAAGTCTGTCAGACTCCAATAAACAATAAAAAAGCCGGAAGTGGAGCTGTAGCTCAAGTGGCACTAGTCTTGAGCCAAAGAACTCAAGGATAGTACCTAGGTCCTGAATTCAAACCCCAGGACCAGCACACACATAAAATGTAAAAATATCTATTCTTATTAGAAAGCTGATGGCCTGGCTCATCAGTAGAGTTCTGTGTAATTTTAATAGCTAGAAATCCTAATCACTTTTCTGTGGCTTCTATACACTGCCATCAAAATAACTCACTTGAAACTTAAAAAAAAAAAGAGAACAAGAGGAAAATTGTTAGTACTAATGGTATCATTTACAAAGAGTTAATAGTATAGTTACAAAACTATAAAACATAACTAAGTCAGTAAATTGAGTTAGGGCTGAGAATCTTACATCATTTCTTATGGTAGTTCCCTTTGAGAAGAGTCATAGTTCAAATCTCTTTATACTACTAAGATGTTAATTACTTTTTATCTCTCATTATCTCAAGAAGCCTGATAGAGGTTGATAGCTGATAACTCAACCGAATGGACTCTCACACAGATAGGAGAATCCAGCTGCCTTTTATTATTTAATGCTAGCCATTAAACTGTAAAACAGTATCAGTAATTTTTGAGAATGTAATTTTTTCATAATAAAATATTAGCTTCTTCAGTTCTTAGTTCCTTCCCAAATAGCTCTGTGTTGGTCATAAGCACACACTTGGTTCTAGTGTGAGCTCCCCAGCTGACCACCTGCATGACTATGGCAAGTTGTTTCAGTAATCAGAATTTTTGTTTTTAAACTACTTATGGGAAAATAGTGCCTGCCTCTAGATTAAATTAGACATAGATTAGCTCATGTGATAGCTACATGAAGTAAGTTTAGAACAACTGAAAAATAACAACCACTTTTAAAATTGGAATGTTGTTATTAATGTTATTATTAGCAGTACTGGTATTTGAACTAAGGGCCTTGCAGTTATTAGCAAGTGCTCTTCTACTTGAGCCACTCTACCAGTGTAGTTATTAATAGGTACAGTATAGTATTAAATATCCAGGTAAAAAGGAAATAAAGATAGCATTTCCTTTTGGTTAAAAGACATATTTAGAAAGATTCAAGTTCACTGTACTGTGGTCAAGTGACAGGAAAAGTAAAAAAATAATTAAAATACTGTCTCGAATTATTGATTAAACAATTTATTTACTATAGAACTACAAGTTGACCATGCTTGGTTTTAAGGATATAGTGATGAATAAGCTTAATTATTTTTATTGGTATCTTAACTAAAATTTAAATAATAACAGTCATTAATATGATATGAAGATGGTGTGGAAATTTCTATTTTTATAAATGGTGAAAATATAAAAGATAAAAATAAAGTTTTCTCCAAGCAGTTAGTAAATAAACAACTTGATTGAGCACAGGGGCAGTATTAGTCCTGCCCACTGTTATATTCCAAGGGCCTAGCACAGTGAGTAGAACATTATAAGGATTTAATGATCTTCCAAATTAGTGAACAGTTGTGAAATCTGGGAGCTGGTAATGTAGTTTCTTACCTGCTAAGGGTTTCACTTGACTTGCTGCCTTCAGTGGATTCCCTTAATGAGTTGTTGCTTCTGTTGGTAGGAGATGGGAAAAAATTAAACTTCACAATGCTCTTTTCTTGCCAATATGGTAAAAGTTAATAATCTGTCCCCCTTTTTATGCTGTTCCTGTGGCCTAGACACTGTCCCTGAGCTTTTTTGCTCAGCTAGCATTCTATCACTTGAGCCATAGTTCCACTTACAAAAGCCACAAGTGTCTCATAAATCTTCCTGCTCAGGCTAACTTCCAGCTGTGATCCTCAGATCTCAGCATCCTGAGTTGCTAGGATTACAGGTATGAGCCTCTAGCATCTGGCTTTCCCCATTCCTCTTCTTTTTGATGTCAGGCATTGAACTCAGGGCCTTGTGCATTCTAAGTATATGCATTACCACCAAGTTACACCCTAGGACTATTTATTAATTTTTTTTTTTTTTGTTGGTCGTGGGGCTTGAACGCTGGGCATGAGTGCTGTCCCTCACTCTTCAGCTTACGACTAGGGCTCTACCATTGGAACCACAGTGCCACTGACTATTTATTCTTTTTTACAACTTCTGTTTTTTTTCTGCGTATGTGGTGCCAAGGAATTGAACCCAGGGCCTCCTGCATGCCGGGCAAGCATTCTACCACTAAGCCACCTTCCTAGCCCCTATTTATTCTTATAAAGGGTCAATTGTAATAGCTAAGATAGATCATAAATCATTAAGTTTGTGGTAAAAACAAAACTGTTTAGCTGAATGTTAATTTAATTTAATTAATTTATTTATTTTGGGTCTGGTCGTGGGGCCTGAACTCTGGGCCTGGGCACTGTCGTTCAGCTCTTCAGCTCAAGGCTAGCGCTCTACCACTTGAGCCACAGTGCCACTTCCAGCTTTTTTCTTTTTGCTTATGTGGTGCTGAGGAATCGAACCCAGGGCCTTAGGCATGCAAGGCAAGCACTCTACCACTGAGCCACCTTCCCAGCCCCGAATGTTAATTTTAAACAGGTACAGATTCAAAAGAGTGAGAATGGACTTCTGCTTAGAGCGTAGTATGGGAGTAAAAGCAGGCTGGGGACAAGTTAGAAGATTCTTCAATGTCATGCTTGAAGGTCTCCATGTCTATTGCAGAGCAGTGGGGAGCTACTAGAGATTTTGAAACAATGGACTCCATGTCTTCTGAGAATAACAAATTAGAGTCTGCATTTTTCTTTGTTCTCAGAAGTTATCTTTTTTATTAGTATACATTGGTTGTACAAGGGACATTTCAGCCACCTGCTGGTGATTCATGCCTGTAATTCTATTAGCTACTCAGGAGGCTGAGATCTGAGGATCGTGGTTCAAAGCCAGCCCAGGCAGGAAAGTCCATGAGACTCTTTATTTTTTTAATTTTTTTTATTGTGAAAATACCGTACAGAGGGGTTACAATTACATGAGCCAGGTAATGAGTACATGAGTACATTTCTTATCAAGCATTTTTGCCTCTTTTGTTTCCCCTTACCATCCCTTCCCATCTCTACCCTCCCCCTGCCTGCCCTGAGCAACCCCCACCCCCACCAAAGTTGTAAAGTTCGTTTTTCGACATAATGTCTTGTACATCTCATTGTTGCAATGGGTCCACCTGTATCCCTATTTAAACAATTTGTTTTTTCCTTTCCCCTCCACAAATTATATCAACATCAAATACAGTGAAAACAGGGGTTATACCATGGGGGAGGGACATACAAAGCAACAAAGAAATCATCTTATAAATATGTTAGAAACAATAGCAAGAAAGAAAAACCATTTGGGTCCTTATCTTGGGGTTCATTTCGCCTAACATCATCTTATCTGACCATTTCGGCTTATCTCAGACATATACTAGTTATTGCAAATAAGGGAAACCATGGGACCTATGTTTCTTTGGGTCTGGCTTACTTCACTTAATATAATTTTTTCCAAGTCTTTCCATTTCCTAACAAATGGGGCAATGCATTTCCCCATGAGACTCTTTAACTACCAGAAAACCGGAAGTGGTGCTGTGGCTCAAGTGGTAGTGTGTTGCCTTTTGCTAAAGAGCTTTGGGACAGTGCCCAGGCCCAGAGTTCAAGCCCCACAACCTGGAAAAAACAAAACAAAAAACAAGGGAGGTTTCATTGTGTTATATCCACATCTGTATTCAAAGTATTCGGATCAACCTCACCCATTCTAGAAGTTGTCTTTTTTTTTTTTTTTAAATTCATGGGGCTTGAACTCTGGGCCTGGGTGCTGTCCTAAAGCTTTTTACTTTTTAGCCCAAGGCTAGTGCTTTACCTCCTGAGCCATAGTGTCACTTCTGGTTTTCTGGTAGTTAATTGGAGATAAGAGTTTCACAGATTTTCCTACCTGGACTGGTTTTGAACAATGATCCTCAGATCTCAGCCTCTTGTGTAGCTAGGATACAGGTGTGAGCCACTGGCGCCAGGCTAGAAGTTGTCTTTTCTTTTTTGTTTTTTTGTTTTTTTGGGGGGGGCAGTGGGGTCCAGTCGTGGGGCCTGAACTCTGGGCCTGGGCGCTGTCCCTCAGCTTTTCAGCTCAAGGCTAGCGTTCTACCACTTGAGCCACAGTGCCACTTCTGGCTTTTTTTCTTTTTGCTTATGTGGTGCTGGGGAATCGAACCCAGGGCCTCATGCATGCAAAGCAAGCGCTCTACTACTGAGCCACCTTCCCAGCCTCTAGAAGTTGTCTTTTCTAAGGGTCTTATTTAGGGTTGCAGATTTTGTTTTATGCTCTTTTTTGTGATTTCACTTCAAATTCAGCTATTTGATAACAGGTGAAAAAAACAGTGTTTTCAGTAAACTATTTGTAACTTTACATTGTGATGGCTATTGCTTCTTTTTGAACTACTCTCTCTTCAAAGTTATATGAGCCATCTAAACTATTTGTAATGGTAGGAAGGTATTTTTGGTATGGCATCCCACATAAACAGCTTCCTGTGGCTAAACCCCAGTGCTGGAGTTGGTATGCTGCATGTTCTTCAAAGGCAAGGCTTTGTGGGAGGTACACCTGTCACAGGGATCTTGCCCAAAGGAGACTGTGGGACCTAGTCTCCTGATTTTTTTTGGCTGTTGTTTTATTTCTGGGTGATTATAATTAGGTAAGCAGTTTTCTCTATGTACTATCCGTCATTTGCCATTGACATCCCCAAAAGAATCCAAAGCAATAGGTCACCTGATCTTAGACTGGAACCTCCATAATTATGAGCTAAATAAACTTTTATGTTAGTTATTTCTGGTACTTTGTTATAGTGACTTAAAGTTGACTAATACAATCAGTAAGACTTAAAATAAGCCCCCTAAAATGTCTATGAAGTTAATTTCTAGGAATCAAGATACTTAGCACATTTCACTGAAATCTCTTTAATATATTTTTTTGGGGGGGGGCCTGAACTCTGGGCCTGGGCGCTGTCCCTCAGCTCTTCAGCTCAAGGCTAGCACTCTACCACTTGAGCCACAGCGCCACTTCGGGCTTTTTTCTTTTTGCATATATGGTGCTGGGGAATCGAACCCAGGGCCTCAGGCATGTAAGGCAAGCGCTCTACCACTGAGCCACCTTCCCAGCCCTGAAATCTCTTTAGAGTCAAACAATATAGCAGCTTTCCTTTACTGAAGTCAATATGCTGATTATACAGATAGACTTCTCAAATTATCAGGCCACATATAATATTCTTGGAAATTAATCAGATTCAGAATTTCATCTTCTTACCTGTGGCATAGTTCTGCTCTTAGACTTGATTCAGTAATACAGTCTCTTACTCTATCATCTCTGTATAGACAAATAAAACTTGGTTAATTATATGCAGATTAATATCTAAACTCTGGATCGTTAAAAAATAACCAGTTGTGCACATGTATTTAATTTTTCTTTAAGCCACAACTGTAGATTTTAGGCCTCTAAGCAAATTTAATAAAGGGCTGCCCTTGGAATTCATCAATTTAGATGTATTTCCCTCCATGGATTCTTAAGCATTATCAGAGTTTAGGCTTTATTGACAAGGTCATTCATAGGATGACAGAAAATTAATCTGAATTCTCTAAAGACAGGGGGCAAGTAGCATGTTAGATGCAATCCAATTCAACTGAAGCCCATCAATAGTGGCTGGAATGATGGAAGGAAATCTGAGCCATTTAATCTTGGCACTGATTAGAGCTTTGAATTTTGTTACTTCTAGATGTACTGCTGAGCTTCGCAGGAGGAGGTAAGTAAATCTATGTTGCAATTGACTCATATGCCAAAAAAAATCTAAAACTTTGACTTAAAAAGATACATTGTAGTTATGACAAAATAATATTCCTTGATGGAGTGACCAACAGAGTATTTCTGACATTATTTGATTCAGATAATTCAGTGTTATGGGAGATAACTGAGTTATTGCTAGTATTTTTTATTATGACTAACAATATTATTCATAATAATTAGATAAACCCAGATAATATTTTGCCACCTTGTGTTCAGATAGTAAGCTAAACATCTTAAGAAATTGAAGATTGTTTACATATGTCATTATATACAATTTCAGAAAGTATGACTTTAAGATATTTCCCATATAATGAGAAGTTGATATAAAAATGGCCTCAATGCTAAAAATAAATTTTATCATATTAAAATATTTTAACATAAGCTAATCTAAGTGAGAACATAAAAATAAAATTTAAAGGCATTATTTTGAAAAAATATGAAGATATCACTGATTTCTGCAGGTATATATACATGGAGAATCTAGTAAGCTGGTTGGATTCTTTTCATATCTGACCTTTTATTAATCTGATACAAGTCACTGTAATGAATAAATAGGGAACCAAGACTTTTCTTCTTTGCTTACACCTATGTGGTTCTCAGAGCTTCAGCAGCTATACCATAGGACTATGTATTTCAGATAAATCAACCATTTGAATCAGCTTTTTTGCGGGGGGGGGGTAGGTGGAAGTACTATGGTTTGAGCTCAGGTCTACTTGTAAGGTAGGTGCTCTGGACTTGAAGCACTTTACTAGCCCAAATCAACTGTTAAGACTTTTGGTATTTCTTTTTCCTATTTCTTTTTTTTTTTTTTTGGTTAGTCG